ATAAGAAAAAGCTAGTACGTAGGAAGCAAATAGTGTGCTAAGTAGGAACCACCATTCTGCAGAAAGCCTGTTTGGATCCTAGGGCAAAACTGTTTGCAGCGGATTGAAAATCCTGGATCAAAAGAAAAATGTTTTGTTTGTTACAGATAATCCTGGCAGGTATTAAATCTGAGCAAATGAAATCCTTTACTTAAATACTGCAGCACTGAATGCATACCAAATGGAGGGAAAGTCTAAATGATCCCAGCCACATGTCCTTTGAAGAAAGACCAGTGTTACACTGTACTGCTTATTAATGGTATTGATTTTTAAATTAAAATTAAAATACCCTTTTCATATCCTAAATAAATCTTAAGGCGTTTCCTGCGCTGATACCCACTTTGAATGCAGAGGCTATAGGATCAAATCTAGCTCATTTTACTGATACAGGAAGAAGGCAAGTAGGATCCAACTCCTACTGATGACTCAGATTGTGACATCTGTCACTCAAAGCCATATAAAAACCACCCTCCAAAACGAGAAACTTCTCCCAACCCCTATCCACCTTTATTCTCCAAAAATGCAGCTAGGTTGCAGACAAGGATTTATAGGCATTACAAAACCAAAATTACGCCCTCAGTTGTGAATGCGCATAATGTCTGTGTGCTCTGTGCCTGCAGCAGAAGGCAGAATTTGGCCCTTTGTTTGGAGGGAGACTAGTACATGATCACGTAACTCAAGACTGCAGACATGATTCCATTACACCAGGGTAAATCTGGAGTAACTCCAAAGACAAGGAGCTTCTGCACTGACTTCTCTGAGCTGCTGAGCAACAATCCACTCTGAGGCGGAGAAAGCAAAAGTTGCCTTTTCATTGGGGGCCTCTGTGGACCCCTCATCCAGTGGCCAGCTTGGCCTCCAAACTGGAGCTTTCGAAGAGTTTTATAACTGCTGACTTCATGCAGTGGCCTGAAGCCCCCAGACACCATTCCAGTTTTCCCCTGGGAATGTCCCCAGGCCAACTCCATACCACACAGGGAATCCCCTGTGCTGGTGGAATCTCCCTGCCCCAAATCAAAATCAGCTTTAGAGCTCCCTTAGGCCAAAGTGGCATAAAGCAGAGGATTTGGTCCACAGGCTTCAGCAAGTTACACTAGACTTACAATGGTGCAAAAGAGATCAGACTCTAGCCAGGCAATGTGCTTACGAGAACATTACTTCTTGTTTGCATTGTCACCAAACCTTCACATGGATCAGGGCCCCATTGTGCAAGGTGCTGCACAGAGAACAAAAGGGCTAGCCCTGCCCCAAAACACTTGCAACCTATAGGCTGCATGTTCACTTAGAATTTGGTTTCTCTCAACTTTTGAGCAACTAACTGCAACTTTGACAGAAGTAACAGATTTTTCCCTTCTTCCCTCTGCCCCACTTCTCACTTCTGGTACATAGCTACCATTATCTTTTAGTTTTCACATTACTAATGATGAACAAATAAGGGGGAAAAAATAAGTGAAAACCTCAGCCATGGCAAATATTAAAAGTGACTTAATTTACTAAAAAGTAAAACCTAAAACACATGAAATGTCTCATTCCACCTAAGGGAAGCAGGCACTTCTATTCAGCAGCAGCTAAATCTAGTTGCTATTCAATTTGTGTAGTTTTAAAACAACTTACTGGCATAAAATATAGGAGTGACTTCTATACAACACAAGCAAAAAACAAAAACCAGAAGCCACCCCTCATTCTTGGATTTGCAGATGCAGATGCCATTTTCTATAAACTACTAATTAGTGGGAGGATCAGCTACACTAGGATCTGCACCTATTGCCATTAGGCAATTTAAACTGGACCTTGCTCTCTCTTTTCTTCAGTGCATTCATGATCTTTGGACTCAGTAATCAGAGTCTGCTGTTTCTGGCACAGATTTTTTTTTTTTTTTGCTAAAGAAACTGTTTCAGCTGGAGCTGTCTCCTCTTGTACCAGGACTACAAATATGAAGCAACTTACAAGAAAGCATAACTGCACTAAACAGACCTCATAATAAAGTAGTGGATTACCAGAGGATTTCTTAAAAAAGTGGTGCATTTCTTTCCTCATAACATAAACTACTCTCAAACAAATAAAGGCAAAAAATGGTCACCCCTACTACAGAATGCCTACCTTGTGTTAACAACTCATTCTGAACTGTGCCAAAGTGTTGAGCATGAATGTGAAAAATATCAAAGCTCTAAGCTGTTTTTCAAATAAATGATTCACAGAAAAGAAAAGCAGCCGATTAATTGCCGGCAAAGCAATTTAACTAGATATTACATAAGATCTGCTGGATTTGATGGAGCTGAAACTTCACTAAAAGAAAACACCAGCCTACAACAAAGTTTGAATTTGCATGCTGATTGCTTTTGATACCTTATTTTCAATTGCTTGATGTCTTTTCAGGCAGTCAGTTTCAATACCTGAGTCTTCTGGATTATTTATGTTATTTTCCACAAAAAACCCTGTCAAACAGTCTCACCGTTTCATCTTCTCCGTAAATCAGGCTAAGAATAACAGGTGTGTAAGGAACACAATTACATTTCATAATAAATCAGCATGTGTGTCTACTTAATGCTGTGTAGGACTGCTTTAAATAAGACAAACCTAAAGTACCTTCAGGCTAGCAAGTTTCTTCTGTTTGGTTTTTAATCAGCTTCAGAGTGAACAAGAAAGCAGCTTGACAAGGAAACGGTAGGAATATTATTAATAAGCTCAAAGAATAACTTCATTTCCTAAGCATCCAATGCAGTTTCTCCTAAGAACAATTGGGGGTTCTGCTACTGACTTAAATGGAAGTCTCATCGCTCTCTGAAGGAGGAAACTCGGCAGCTGTTACGTTATATGCTGCAATACTTGCCTGGACAATGGAAATGTTCCATAGGATACATGCTCTAATGTACCTGTCTGGCACCACAAGCTGTTAATCCTCCTTCCATCTCTAATAAACAGTGATGGTGTTAATACTAGCTCATAAAGTTAATTCAGGTTCACAAGGTACCCATCATGCTTTACTATTAGGCAAATTTTTTCTTTTGACTTGGAACAGGAAAAGCTACTTGAAATTGGCCTACCTAATCAAATGCTTAATTTCTAAAGCCATATATGTATATTAAAAAGCAAGTTAATTAAGCAGGTACTTTACCATGTGAAAGACTTGCTAGCCCTGGAATGGAAAGCTAAGTAAGCATCACAACACTCCAGTCATTTTTACACCTTCCCCTAAGAGCTCAGAGCACTCAGTTCCAAGATGTACAACTTCAGGTGAGCACAGAGGGCTTATGCAGGTAAATCTGTGCGCGCGGAAAAGGAAACTATGAACCTGACTCTTCTGTCACTTTAACCCATGCAAATCAGAGGTAACTCTATTTACTTAATTGGAGATCCAGGAAAGTTAAACTGGTGCAAAGGAAGAATGGAGCCCTTTCCTTCCACCTTGTGAGCCTCAGAAGGATTCTGGGGAAGCCAAAGCCAAGTGGCCTGCAGTGACCATGGAAATGGACTTTGCTGAATCCAGCCCTAGATGAGAGGCAGATGGAGGCTCTTGACTTGGACAATCCTAGACCTTTCTGAGGCATACAATGGCTCGCAGTTTTGGAGTGGCAGCTCTGCAAGGGCAGCCTATCACCCCTCAGGGCACAGGCAGGACTGGTGCAAAAACGCAGTGCCTGTGCCTTCAGCTGCTCTGTAACTGGAGCTCCTATGGGGAGGAGCTCCTCTTGGGTCCCCTGGCACCCCCACACTCTTCATCCCAATGCCACGGTGTACCACCTTTCGCCTGCCCGTGGGCAGGCATGGCAACATCTCCTGGGCACCTCCAGCCTGCCACTTTCCCTATCTCTAGACAAGCTGCCTCCCCTTCTCCCCAGCTAGCTGGGAGCTCCTGCACTCCCCAGCCGAGGGGCACCAAGGAGACTCCAGCCCCTCTGAGAAGCCGAGAGCCCCTTGACAGAGCCTCAAAACACTTGCTCTCCTCCAGCCCCGCAGCAACTAAGCTCCTCGCTGCTGCCTCCAAGAGGAGCCCAGTTCTGCTGTCTGACCCCCCACCCCCATTCCCACCCAAGCCAAAACAGCAGCAGCTGGTTGCTCCACCGTGAGCCATAGCCTCCCCCCGCAACCCGCCCCGGTGCCAGTGGACACACTTGCAGCCTGCAGCAGGGCAAGGCAGCGCCTCTCCGGCTCCCTCCGCACCCCCAGCCTTGCCCGTGCTGCCAGGCAGACTGTTGGGGGGGGCAACCCTGGGGGCAGCAGGGTGTGTAGTGTACCCCCAACACAGACACACACCACACTGATACAGAGCCACACATACAACATGCACATGCACACACAAACACACACACCCACCAGAGACCGACCCAGACACCCCAGACAGACAGACAGACCCCCCTCAACTGCGCGCTGTCCCTCGCCCCCCCC